TTCTTTCTTTCTTTCTTTCTTTCTTTCTTTCTTTCTTTCTTTCTTTCCCTAATTAGTTGTTGGCAACTGTGGGACAGGATAGGGTGGGAGATAAGGGAGACTGGAATCCAGGTATTTGTCACTGCCATAGCCAAGCAGCTTTGAGATCTTAATGATTATGGGTAAATGTGTGAGTGTGTGTGTGTGTGTGTGTGTGTGTGTGTGTGTGTGTGTGTGTTTTCTTTCAGAAAAGCATCCAAATGAAGCTGCACTGCAGGTGGCCCAGGACTTGATCCAGTGTGCCGTGGTGAAGGGGTACCCCCAACTACCTGCTAATGGGCCACAGTGATTTGTCTAACCTCCTGTCCCCTGGACGGGCATTGAACAACATCATCAAGATGTGGCCTCACTTCAAGCACTGAGAGAATCCCCAGGCCCATCTGACGATGCTCTTCCTCCTCTCGGGTGTCTGTCCTTAACTTCCACCTTGGCTCAGCACCTTTGTCACCTCCTTTCTTCACCTTTCTTGTGTTGCAGTTACGGTGTCCTCTCTTGCTGATATCCTCCAGAGTCTCTCAAGCTTTGTGCTTATGGTCCTCAGTCTGGTGCAGCTTCCTCTCTTCCCCGTTTTCTTCCACCCATCTGCTCATCCAGGTGAGGCTTTCCTCCCCTTGCTACCTGTCCTTTGCCTTGTATGCAAACACCCATGGTCTGTCTGGAGTCTCCCCGTGCTCATCTATGTCTCCAGTCTTCCTACATACATACCCTTCTTGTACTCATTTGAATACTCCTCTAATTTAAGGGCTGAGGTTGGTTGTCTTCAGATATGTCTGCCCTCTCTTGGGGTATCAGCTTTTCCAGTATGGCTGCTGAATTTTCTTTGTCACTACATATCCTGTGCTGATATCGACACAGCAAATGCTACAAATGTTTGCTGGGTAAAAAGAAAAACATAAAAAAGGTGAAAGAGCCAATTCCAGCCCCTTTCTGTCTGTTCACGTTGCTCATCACTGCTCTGTGGAAAGCCCTATGGGGGCAGTTCCAGTTCTCTACCCTGGTCCCTCCCAGAGGAACAAGATGGCTGCAGTGACTTCTGTGTGATGAATTCTGTATCTCCAGCCTTCTGTGCCTTGTTTTCATCGCACTGTAAAGACCAGCCAGGAAGAGCTGTGTTCACTGGTGCTGTCCACTGTCTGTGGCCTGTCTGTGCCTGTCCAGGCCATGCTGAGTTGAGAGAGGGCCCAGAGTCTTTGCATTCAGTAGCTCCCAGCCATGCTCTGCCAGATCCTCCTTCCCAAAGGGAAGAGCCATTTAACTCTGTAGCAGAGGCAGTGCCTCCCCCCACCCCACAGTCACCTGTTCAAAAGATATACACAGGCTGGTTCTTGCTTTATTGGGCCTCATACAAAGACAAGGGAATAATGGAGAAAGAGGAAAGTGTGGACATGAGGAGGAGGACACATGAACATATTTTCCCCATCTATTATTAATACATCTATTATTAGTACATGGTGCTTTTGGCTTTTGCTTTCAGAGTGTTTTCACATCTCTTACAACATGGTGAGTCTTCCTAACCTCACCTTTACTTGGGATTTTGCTTTTCACAGACCCTTTCCTTTGGATATCATTAGATTGGCTCTTCATTTGTCATTTTTCCTAAGGCCTCCCAGGCCTGTAACCAGTGTGATTTTTCCACTGTGTCAGGCTTAGAGAGACACACCAGCTACTCCTGATTTACACAGCAGGGGTAGAATGCAAACTTTACAGGCCTTTCTGTCAGAGATTTTTTTTTATTTTTTATTTTATTTTTATTTGTTTAAAAAGGATTAACATTTTATTTATTTTTAAAAAGCATATAGTTTTTTTTTTCAGACAAACACTAGAAAACCTAAGGGCAAAGTGCAGACAAATTAAAGCAAAAAAAAAAAAAATTATTTCAAGAAGCAAAACAATGATTACCTAGTCAAACAACTAACTATGCTTCTGTAAGAAACCTGGATCAGCTGTGTCAGATAAAATCTGTCTATCGGATGTTGGAACTGGTTGTTATAATTGTCTTATTTAGAGATATGAATACTTTTATAAAGCTAGAAGATTAATTTCTTCATTTTATAGCAACAAACTTTCCCTAAATTGATGATTTAAAATGATACGACCTTATTCCCTCATAATACTGGAGGTCAGAAAACTGACACCGTAATTCATGAGATAAAATCAAGGTGTCAGCAGGACTGGGCATGTTTTTTCCTGAACTAAAGAGGGAAGTTTTCAGAGGCAACTGACTTCCTTGGCTCATGACTCTGAGTCAGTGGGCCCTGCAGGTTTGTTGTTAGCAATCCTTTCACCTCTTGATGTCCTGTCTTTTTTTTTTTTTTATTAAAAAAATTAATTAATTAATTAATATAACTTATTCACTTTGTATCCTGGCTGTAGGCCCCCCCCTTGTCTCCTCCCAGTCCTACCTTCTCTCCCTCTTCTTCCCCCATGTCCCTCCCCCAGTCCACTGATAGGGGAGGACCCTTCCCCTTCTATCTGACCCCAGAATAGCTAAAACAATCCTGTACTGTTAAAGGCTCTTGACCGTGCAGTTTTTTTTTTTTTTCTGTGAGCGTAGAGGCTGGGGACAGACTTCTCAGAAAATGTGAATTTAACACCTCACATACAGGAAGTACTCGTAGTAGTAGCCACGAGATGTGAAGAAAAAGTCTCACCCAAAGCCACCTGCCACCGTTCGAATACACTTCTTGACATTCATGTGTTAGAAACCGAGTCCCTGATAGGCAATCGTGTTGAGAAATGGGCCTTGTTAGAGGTTACTAGTGCACTAAGGTTGATGATGTAAGCATGAGTTTGTTTTAAAATGAGTGTGCAAGCACCCTACTCTCTTGTGCTCTCCCATTCTGTCACAGGATGATGCAGCAAGAGGGCCTTGGCCTGATGCTGACTCTTTACCTTAAGCCTCACAGAGTTCACACTGCACAGAATACGTTTTTGTTCACTGTGAATTACCAGACTCTAGTATTCCGTTTTTAAAGAAGCATACAGTGGGCTAAGACATCACTATTGATTTATTGACTCTTCTTACTGTCCCTCAAGTAGAGGTCCCTTCTTTTTTGAGTTAGTTACTACCTTCAGGCCTCAAGGACTCATTGACTTTGGAGGGGAATTATGGAGTTTTCTGTCATCTCTCACCGAGGCTGCCTCTCCAGGCCTGCGTGGTCTGGATTGCTGTTTACTCCAAACCACCCACTTTTAAGGATTTTAGAATATATGCTTTAACTAAGGCCAGAGCATTCAGCTGGCAAGTGCTTTTTCAAGGTCAGGTCTGTGGCAGCCCCCAGCAGGCGGTTTGCCTGCCTTTTCTTTGTCTTTTTATTGAGAAATTCTTCCTAGCTCTCCATCAGGCACTTAGAGATTATACTAAATCAGCCTCCAGTGACTGGTATGAGGGTTAAATGAGTGGATGTGAGCAGGGATCTTAGCGCGCACTCTTGGCGTCCAATCATTGTTCAGCTGCGGCGTACACAGTTGGGCGCCTCTTGTTTGACTCTCAGGGGAAGGATATGCTTTCTTAGGTACCAGCCTCAGCCACACGGGGGAGTTCTGTGTCAGCTGAATTCAAGCTTGTGGTGGCAAAGAGGAGCCAGATACACCCACAGGCTGGCAGGTCCGAGAGAGCCTAGGGTGAAGGAGTACTGACATGTCTTTCAAGCCTGCTGGTCTTCTGTGGGAGGGCCAGGCTCCTGAGCTCATTGATTTGCTTGTTTTCTACAATTTAAGCTGGGAATAGAGGAAAGACTGTGGAATACATTTTAGTTCCAGAAAAGTGAACACTACAAAGGGCAGAGGCCCCACTTTGCGTAAGACTGAAGTCTAACCAGACATACGGCTTACTCCTCTTTGCCCAGTTAATAAAGATACTCTGGATCTGGGGTGAGGCATACTTCCCATCACCCCCAGTGGAAACCATGCTGTGGCTTCTTTCTGACTGAGTAAAGCGCTTCAGCCTCATCTTTTTTTGCCTGCTTGCCATCTTTATGCCTTTGTTCTCATACCCTGTCCTGATGCTCCTCTTGCTTTTAAAGGTACTTTTTGAAGGTTGGCTTTTCCAGAACATCCCACTTCCTGGTGCCCACAGACTTTCACAGGTGTCTTGGTGGCTTAACCCTCCTCCTGTCCCCCCCTCCCAATCCTGGCCTCGCTGGGAGCTGCATCTGCCCTTTGTGCTAAGGTCTCCAGGGCCCCTCCCAGGGCCAGGCACATTGCTCATGCCAACTAAATGTCTGTGGAATGAAGGATGAGGGGATGGGTGGGGCTATCAGAAGGGTGGTGGCTTCCCGCTCAATTAGTCTTAGACACTTGCTGCACTGTGGAAAATGCCATCATTTTTTTTCTGACTGAACCCAGCCTGCTTGCTGTGATTTGCCAGATTCATTATAAATTAACTCTAATTCTAGGCCACTCATTGTCCCCACCTTGTGGCGGCTTCCTCACCAATTGTGAGATCTGGGGAGTCATTATTCTCCAGAATCTATCCTCGCCACCCAGCAGTCTGTGACCTAACTGTGGGGGCCTGAGTCCTGGAGAGCACGTGACCTGTCACTGCTGTCCTGTATGATGCCCTTCCTTCCCCCGTGCTTCCCCTCATGCTTCCATGCTCTTCCTCTGTGTCCCTGGGCCTGCCATGTCTACATACAGTTCTGTATCTTTTCCTCTACTATTTCTATCTTTGCTCTTCTCCCTCCCACATCTTCACCTGACTCCATTTCTTATTCTTTCTCCATCTCTCAGGGCATCTCATTTTCTGTCTCTGTGTCTTTCTGCTCACCGCCTTTGGCTTTTCTCTAGAATTATGCTACAATGAATGGAGAACAGGATGGCAGCAATGTGTGGTGGCATCAAACTCCAGCTCAAGAAATACTCAAGGATAATCTCCACTCTGTCCCTGAAAATCTCCACAGATGCTGAAGAGTGGGAGGAGAAGGGCAGAAAAGAAGGGGTACCATGGTTTTAGGGAAGATGTATGTTTTTCAGGAGCTTAGAGACAGGCAGACCAGGTCTAGTTTGTTTCTGGGCCAGCAGGTTCTGCAAGTCAGGGCCTGAAAGGGCAGAGACTTCCAGCTGATCTTTGACAGGGAGGAATGCATTAATTACATGGAAGGAGTTGTGGGAGGGAGTGCAATTCCTGGGAGGTGTGGCATAAAGTTTAGGAGGTCTTTCCACAGTGGACTGAAGTAAGAAGTGTCTCTTGTGGGCCAGAAGCTGGGGACTCCTCTCAGAGAGGCTGAGAGCTCTCTGATCCAAGTGATACGGCTATTTTGGAGGAAAGCTGAGGAATTCCCTACTGACCTCCACACTCAGCTTGCATCCAGTTCTAGAAGCCTAAGTCTTAAGATCCCCAAATTAAGACTGACTCATGTTT